AAGAACATGGGAGATCTTTCCATTTTCTGGTATCTTCTTTAATTTCTTTCTTTAAAGACTCAAAATTCTTGCTGTACAGGTCTTTCACTTGTTTTGGTAGTGTTAGCCCAAGATATTTTATGTTATTTGTGGCTATTGTAAAGCGTGATACCTCTCTAAATTCTTTCTCAGCCCATTTATTGTCTGTATATTATAGGGTTACTGATTTTTTTTAGTGAATCTTGTATCCTGCCACTTTGCTGAATGTGTTTATCAGCTGTAGGAGTTCCCTGGTAGGATTCTTTGGGTCACTTGCATAAATTATCATATCATCTGCAAACAGTGAAAGTTTGACTTCTTCCTTTCCAATTTGTATCCCATGACCTACTTTTGTTGTCTTATTTCTCTAGCTAGAACTTCAAGTACAATATTGAAGAGATATGGAGAGAGTGGACAGCCTTGTCTTGTTGCTGATTTTAGAGGAATTGTGCTGAGTTTCTTTCTATTTAGTTTGATGTTGGCTGTTTGTTTGCTGTATATTGCTTTTAATCCCTCTCCCTCCCCTCCTCCCCTGCCCCCTGCCAAACATGTTCAGGTATGTTTCTGTTATACCTGAGCTCTCCAGGACCTTGATAATTAAGGAGTGTTAGATTTTGTCAAAGGATTTTTCAGCATCAAGTGAGATAATCATGTGGTTTTTCTTTTTAAGTTTGTTTATATGGTGGATTACATTGATAGATTTTTGTATGTTGAACCATCCCTGCATCCCTGGGATGAAGCCTACTTGATCAAGGTGGATGATTTTTCTGATGTGTTCATGGATTCGATTTGCTAGTATTTTATTGAGTATTTTTGCATCATTGTTTATGAGCGATATTGGTTTGTAGTTTTCTTTCTTAGCTGTGTCTTTTGTGACTTGGGTACCAAGGTAATTGTAGACTCATAAAAATAATTTGGCAATGAACTTTCTGCTTTTATTGTGTGAAACATTTTGAGGAGTATTGGAATTAGCTCTTCTTTAAATTTCTTGTAGAACTCTGCATTGAAGCCATCTGGCCCTAGGCTTTTTTTGGTTGGGAGACTTTTGATGACTGTTTCCTTTCTTTAGGGGTTATAGCTCTGTTCAAATTGCTTATCTGTTCTTGGTTTTATTTTGGTAAGTGATATCTACCCAGAAAATTGTCCATTTCCTTTAAATTTTCAAATTTTGTGGAGTACAGGTTTTCAAAGTATGACCTGAAGATTCTCTGAATTTCCTCAGTGTACATTGTTATGTTCCCCCTTTTCATTCCTGATTTTGCTAATTGTGTGTTCTCTCTCTGCCTTTTTGTTAGTTTGGAATCAACTCTTTGTTACATTGCTTCTTTGTATTGTTTTACTAGTTTCTACTTTATTGATTTCAGCCCTCAATTTGATTATTTCCTGGCATCTTCTCCTCCTGGATGACTTTGCATCTTTTTGTTCTAGAGCTTTTAGTTGTGCTGTTAATTCTCTAGTGTGACTATTCTCCAGTTTCTTCATAGTGCTTTGAACTTTCCTCTTAGTACTGCTTTCAAAGTGTTCCATAAATTTGGGTATGCTGTATCTTCATTTTCATTGAATTCTAGGAAGTCTTTAATTTCTTCCTTGACCCAGGAATGGTGCAATTGCACATTGTTCAGTTTCAATGAGTTTGTAGAGTTTCTGCAATTTGTGTTGTTGCTGAATTCTAACTTTAAAGCATGGTGTTCTAATAAAATACAGGGGCTTATTCCAATTTTTTTGTACCTGTTGAGGTTTGCTATGTTGCCAAGTATGTGGCCGATTATAGAGAAGGTTCCATGTGGTGCTGAGAAGAAGGTATTTCTTTTGTGTTTGGATGGAATATTCTATAGATGTCTGTTAAACCCGGTTGGGTCATAACTTCTGTTAGTTCCTTTGTTTATTTAAGTTTCTGTCTCTTGGTCCTGTCTAGTGGTGAGAATGGGGTGTTGAAGTCTCCCAATATAACTGTGTGAGGTCTTATGTGTGATTTGCATTTTAGTAATGTTTCTTTTACCAACGTGGGTGCCTTTGTATTTGGGGCATAAATATTCAGAATTGAGACTTCTTCCTGATGGATTTTTTTCCTGTGATGCCTATGAAATGACCTTCTTCATCTCTTTTGATTGATTTTAGTTTGAAGTCTAATTTGTTAAATACTAGTATAACTATATCAACTTGTTTCTTGGGACCATTTGATTGGAAAATCTCATTCCAACCCTTTGCTCAGAGGTAATATCTGTCTTTGAAGTTGAGGTGTGTTTCTTGTATGCAGAAGAAGGATGGATTCTGTGTTCATATCCATTCTGTTAGCCTGTGTCTTTTTATAGACAAATTAAGACCAATAATATTGAGGGAGATTAAAGATCATTGTGATTAACATTGAGTGTTAATTCTTGTTTGTTTTTGATTTGTTGTTGTTGTTGGTATTATTTGTGGATTTACTCTGCTTTTTATTTTGGCTTTTGGTAAAATTGGGTTATCTTTTGCCTGTGTTTTTGTGAGTGTAGTTATCTTCCTTCAGTTGCAGTTTTCCCTCCAGTACTTTCCGTAGGACTGAATTAGTGGATATGTATTGTTTAAATCTGGTTTTGTCTTGGAATATCTTGTTTTCTCCATTTATAATACTTAAAACTTTGCTGAGAATAGTAGTCTGAGCTGGCATCCATAGTCTCTTAGTGTTTGTAGAATATATTTCCAGGATCTTCTGGCTTTCAGAGTTTCCATGAAGAAGTTAGGTGTGATTCTGATAAGTTTGCGTTTATATGTTACTTGACCTTTTTCCTTTGCTGCTCTTAATATTCTTTCTTTATTCTGTATGTTTGAGAATTTGATTATTATGTGGCTAGGGGACGTCTTTTTTGTGATCCACTCTATTTGGTGTTCTGTAGGCTTCTTATACTTTCATTGGCATGTCTTTCTTTAGGTTGGGAAAGTTTTCTTCTATGATTTTGTTGAATATGTTTTCTGCACCTTTGAGTTGAGTTTCTTCACCTTCTTCTATCCCTATTATTCTTAGATTTGGCCTTTTCACGATGCCCCATATTTCCTGGATATTTTGTGTTAGGGATTTGTTGGACTTAGATTCATCAGCCAAAGAAAATCTTATTTCTCCTAGTGAATCATCAACGCTTAAGATTCTGTCTTCCAACTCTTGTATTCTGTTAGTTATGCTTGCATGTGTAGTTCCTGATTGTTTACTCACCTTTTCTAATTCCAGCATTCCTTCAGACTGTTTTTTTATTGTCTCTATTTCAGCTTTCAAACCTTGCATTGTTTGAATTGTTTCTTACAATTTTGCTCTGTCTTTTCTTCCATTTCTTTAAAAGATTTTTTCATTTCTTCTTTTAGGGTCTGTATCATCTTCATGAAGTTGCTTTTAAGGTCATTCTTTTCTGCTTCATCTGTGTTGGGATGTTCAGGTCTTACTGATGTAGAGTCCCAAGACTCTGGTGGTGTCATATTGGTTTTTCTGTTGTTGAATGTGTTCTTATATTGCCATTTTCTCATCCTTCTTCCAGTCAGTACAAGTGGGGTCTTTTCCTTTCCTGGTGGGCACGGGTCCAAGGTTCTCTTCCAGTTGGATCAAGCACGTCCAATACTCTGATGGATCTTACGGTGGACGCAGGCAGGTCTGAGGCATTCCCTCTCCCGATGAGTGTGAGCTGGGTTAGCACAGTGCGGTCAACAGTGTCAAGGTTGCTTAGTCAGCTGGGGGCAAGTTGATCTGTCTGCAGTTCCTAGGTCAGGAGATCCCAGAGAGGGAAAGCTGAAGGAAGTCAGGATTGAGGGGGGCTGGGGCTCACCTCTGCCCTCTGCCCTGAGTATGGGAGGGAGTTGACTTTCACTCTCAGCAGGCTCCTGGTTGCTTGGTCCTTGGGGCAAGTCACAGCAAATACAAAGAGCACATCTCTGCCCTCCCTACCAGATTGGCGGATCTAAAAGAGAGAGTACGGAAATGTTACATACATAATTTAGGACCTAATCACTTTTAAGGATTGCCTCTTATATTTCAATAATAAGCTCCAGTGGCTGCCCCATTTTCATGCATACAGGGCAGCAAAATAAGACTCAGTGGAATACATAAAGAATACATAAAATTGGGGATGGGCATGACTGAATCCAGGAGGTGTTGTGAGAAGAAGTAGGGACTAAATATTATTAAAATACACTGTATACATGTTTGAAGATTTTCAAAGAATTAATAAATATATCTAACTGGTGTGATGACCCAGAGGTTAAGAACACTTGATGCTCTTGCAGAGGACCAGAGTTTGGTTCCTAGCACCCATGTGGTATCTCACAACCATCTGGAATTATAGTTCCAGGAGTTTTAATGTCTTCTTTTGACTTCCGAGGGCCCTGGAAAGTATGTGGTACAAACAGATACAAGCAGGTGTATATGAAAATGAGTGTGTGGGTATAGTATAAAACTGATAACAGCTTTCAGGAGGATGACAGTGAAAAGTAGTGATGTAGGCAGAATGTCACATGAGTCATGAAAGTATTTTTTCTAGTTTCAACTTGCAGAGTTTTTTTTTTCATTTTCAGTGCTAGATAAATACATAAGAATATAATGGATAGTGAAAGTGTAAAACCTTAAGAAAAGCCACATCGCTTCAGAATGGACATTCTGACAGTATAAATATTCATTAAGATGTGTAGGGTTTGGGACTGGGCGGGTATTTTGAATGGCTTCCTGAAACTAGGTGTGATGTTTTTCACTTGGGAGTTAATAGAATAATCAAGAAGAAAGTATGTTCTTTTTAAAGCCCTCTTCCCCACCCATGCCCATTTGGGTTTGGAAATATGGATCTAATTTTCATTTCTAAATCTTAATAGGCTTTTTAGAAAGTATTAATTTTCCAGTTATTGAGTCTTATTCACTGGTACTGGGGTCAGAGAGAGTTTAACACCAGGAAATGTTCATTTAGGACGTGGGTGTGCTAACTCGCATGCTGGTTCCTGGAGGATTTTGCTGAAAGATGTTGTTGTTTCAGATGCGGAGCCGAAGTATCTGATAGTCGTGCGACCTGCTCCTCCTCCCAGCCAGAAGAAGTCATGTTCAGGTATAGTCCTTGCACTGGATTTTCTTGTAGTTAGCTATGAACCATGTAACTTCACCTTCTGCCACACACCACAGATGGCATGCCTTGGGAATGTCTTAGCAATGTAGGTGTAGAGGATATCAGTCCTGAGTGTTAGATGAGCTTACCCTGTTAGATGCAGCTTACCCTGTTAGATGAGCAGCATAGCCTGGTCTTAGACACTGTTCTCAGCAGAAATTGGCATTGCCACTTCTTGTCACTGCCTATGATGAGTTTTAGTTAGCTACATGTTCTCTTTACCTTGGCTATTGTGAATAAGAATGAGTAAGAGTAAAACTTCAACATGACTGTGATATTGTTGCCAACCTGACAGGAGCTGAAATCACCTTGGAAACACACCTGTTAGAGATTACTTTGCCTCTGGCTGTGCCTGTGAGTGGTTATGTCGATTAGGTTTATTGAGATAGAAAGACCTAACAGTGGGCAGTCTGGTTCCCTGAGCTTAGGTCCTGGACCCCATAGAAGGAATGGACTAGTGAGTGCATGGGTCCATCACCCTCTGCTTTTTGCTTGTGAAGGTGCACTAGCTATTTTAAGTGCCTACTGTCTTGACTTCTCTGCTTTGAATGAATTACCCTTGAATCATGAGTAAAAATAAACCCTTTCTCCTTTAATCAAATGATCAAGCATTTTAATGAATAAAATATGTATGAATTCTGCACCCCCCAGCCTCTTATCTTAAAGCAAAGGGGGAAAACTCAGTATCTTAAGACAGTGTTTCAAAATTTTGAACAATAAAGTCAAATGTGATTGTGGTGTCTTCTAATGAGATTTCATTTGGCTAGTCACAGAACTGTTTGTTCATAATAACACTGATCATAAAACAAATAAAAATTGCATGTAAATAAAAATCAGACCACTGATGCTTTTGTAGCTCAAGTAATAATTCTATTTTCATTTCAAGATCTCTGACACTAGCCATGGAGATTATTTTTCACTCCCTCACTCCTAGCTCAGGAGGTTGTGTTGTCCTGCTTAGCACACAATAGTCCACCTTTCCTGTGTGGCAATGGCTATGATTCCTGGTTTTTACTTTGCATCTGGGAGAGATGCAGTAGCTGATGGAATCACCTCCATTTGTTTCACATTGGCACCTGCTACATAGATTCTAATTAGCTACTCTTCTTCATATAAAAACTACCAAGTTAGTGACATAATTGTTTGAACATGCAAGCTTAGGATCCCTTGGGGGATGAAATATACATTTTTCATTTCTAGGCTGCATTTCATCTCTTCATACACTGTAAGCAGAGCCAAGGATTCACTACAAAGGAAATTAGAAAATAATGAAGGAAACCCAAAAAGAGTTTTTACCTTACATTCTCTGTAATTTGGAACACCCTTGTGACTTTTCTGGCCCTTAATGCTCATCTATAAAATAATATTGTTGTATTACATTCATGACAGTCAACTCAGAAACAGGAAGAATAGTATAATCACCTCAGTGTTTGTTTGCAACCGTCTGCACCCCCACCTTCAATCAAGACTCTCATCTCTTCTCCTTGGAGGTCAAATGTAGGCCACTTAATGACAGATGCATTTGAAAGGCTTGCAGAGAAGAGTACATGCATGTTTGCAGCCAACAACTATTATGTTCTTCATAAATGACTTTAGACATCATTAAGAGGCCAACTTCCCTAGTCAAGTTTCCAGTGTTCTGTTACTATGTCAAATACTCAAGAAGTTTGATTCCATAATCACTGGGCCCCATTCTTTAGGGTGTTAATGCTCTGTTTATGATCAGAAGGGAAAAAAACTAGAAAGGGAAAGAGACTGGGATTCCACAATCCCCCTTTAAGAGCAGACCCCGCCCCAAAAATCTAAACGCTTCCCATTATGGCTTACTTCTTGAAGTAGCTCCCAGTAACAGCACGGGATGAAAACCAAGCCTTTAGCATGGGGATGCTCACTCAAATCATAGAACCACATGTAATAAAACTTTACTGTTTATGTTTTTATAGTTGAAGGTGTTTGATACTTCACCACAAGGAAATGCCGGATATTTAAGGTTATAGATATACTCTGTTTTGAGCATTGCATGATGTATGCAGGTATTGAAAGATATGACACCCCATAAATAAGCCAACTGTATTAGAATGAGGCATTTTTATATCACTAGGTTGTGTAAATTCTGGATTCAGAGGCTCTCTTCTTGGAGTCATAATTGACAGAACTTTAAACAGACATGAAATTTTTAAGAGCATTTGATTCAAATAGTCACCATTACATTTACTTATGGGTTCCTGTCCTATACACTTTAATAAAGGTCCCAGGCACTGTGGTATACTCTCTCAAGCCCATAAGACTGAGAAAACAGAAGTAGAAGTTCTTCCTTTGATTCATGTTTAAATTCATGAACAAAAATCAATTTTGTAGACTATACGAAAAGCTGTGAAATCCTAAAAGAATTGATAAAAATTATATTATTTTAAAAAGCCCTCTCATAAAGCCCAGAAATGACTCAGAAAAATATCTTGACATGATAAAAGCTAAACCAAAAAGGAAAGGACTATAATCTTGCCAAGTCTTCTTTGTGCATTCCATTTTACTCAAAACATTAATCAAGAGATCTTGTCCCATTTCCTTTTTCCGGGGGGCCATGTATGTCTCTCATAGGGTCCTGAGCAAATTGGGAGCATGGGGGAAGTGGGGAGGAAGGTAGGAGAAAGAGGAGGGGAGAAGTGGGAAGAACATTGAGGGGTCAGGAAGATTGAGTTTGGGGAAGAATAGAGGAGAGCAAGAAAAGAGATACCTTAATTGTGGGAGCCATTATAGGTTTAAAGACAAATATGGCACTAGGGAAATGTCCAGGGATTTATCCACAAGGATGACCCCAACTAACAATCTCAGCAATAGTGGAAGAGGCTACCTTAAATGCCCTTCCCCTATAATGATATTGATGACCACCTTAAATGCCATCATAGAGCCTTCATCCAGTAGCTGATGGAAGCAGAAGCCGAGATTCACAGTCAAGTACTGAGCCGAACTCCTGTAATCCAGTTGTAAAGAGGCAGGAGTGATGAGCAAAGGGGTTAAGACCATGCTAGGGAAACCCACAGAAACATCTGACCTAAGCTAGTGGGAACTCATGGACCCTAGTCTGACAGCTGGGAACCAGCACAGGACCGAACCAGGTCCCCTGAACGTGGGTGACAGTTGGGAGGCCTGGGCAAGTCTATGGGACCTCGGGTAGTGGAACTAGTATTTATTCCTAGTACACAAATGGGTTTTGGGAGCTCATTCCCTATGGAGGGATGCTCTCTCAGCCTAGACACACAGGGGAGGGCCTAGGTCCTGCCCAAAATGATGTGTCAGACTTTGATGATTCCTCATGGGAGGCCTCACTCTCCCTTGAGAGTGGATGGGGGCATTGGTGGGGGGGAAATAGGAGGGAGAGGGAACTGGGATTGGCATGTAAAATAAGATTGTTTTTAATTTAAATAAAATTTTACTTAAAAAACCATCAATCAAAAGGTGTTGTGTCCTCATTGCAGTTCCCAGTGACACCAAGATAAATGAAGAGGTGTTGGAGAGGTGGGGAAGATGGAGGAGTGAAGTGGTACTTTTTGTTTGTTTTGTTTCTAATTTTTAAATTTCCTTTTTTGAGCGACACTATGGGGGTAGGGGCAGATATGGAAGAACTGGGGTTGGGTTTCATGATGTGAAATTCTAGAGTTAACTGTGCTCTGCCTCTACAGGTAAATCTCGCTCTCGAAAACCTCTCCAGCTCGTGGTTGGTACATTGACGCCAAGCTCAGTCTTCCTGTCCTGGGGTTTCCTCATCAATCCACATCATGACTGGACGTTGCCAAGTCACTGTCCCAGTGACAGGTAATTCTCCGTAGTAGAGATTTTTTTTCATTATTTTTGATAGTATAGACACATGCTTAGACAAATGTACAAACTTTTGGACCCTTAGCATTTACTTACCACCTCTTAGCTATATAATTGTTCTAGGTATGAGAGGTACATAGATATCTAGTACAGGGACCCTGCTATTGACAGAGCAATGACCTAAGTAGAAAACATATGGATGCATGTGTATCGGCAAATGAGCAAATACAAGGGGGAAGGAGAAAATATCAAATGGACAGAATCATGCAGAATGAACAGTATCATGCAGAGAGCACAGAGGAGTGAACTAAAGATCTAAAGGAGAGATACATACATATGCATATGTCTATATCTGTGTGCTATTATATATATTGTGTGTATGTGCATGTGTATGTATCCTTTCATATATCCAGAGATATTCTTTATTTTACTCACTACTGAGACTGTGACTTATTTTGCATGCTTGGTTGATTTGATATTTTGAAAGTACTTAGTTTTTAATGATAATTGCAGTTGTTAGTGGATTCCAGTACTAAAAAAAAAATACATTGAGATGAGCTCCCACCCTGTAACTCAGGTGACCTTGAACTCACTGATCTTCCTTCCTGCCTCTACCTCCAAATTATTGATCTTTGATCTGAAAACTTAAGAGTGCTTGAAGCAGAAGTATTTGAAGTGTGGTCTCAAATCGAGTTGCATCACTATTGTCATCATCCGGGAACATGTAACATGCAAACTGAAGTTCCCCCACCCTCAGACTTCACTAGGTCAGAAATTGAATGTGGGCTCAATCGTCTTTGTTTCAACAAGAATTCTGATGCCCACTGATAGCAATGAATTCTGGCTTAGAAAACTAATGTTCACACAGGAGAGTTAAGTAGAAATGAAACACGAGAAGTGAAACAGAGAGGTGTTTGGCAGAACAATTAAGACAGTCACTTGTGTTTTTTGATAACTGCAACTCACTTATCCTGAAACCCAACACAATCTTTGACTCTGTCTGAAATGAGCAGTGTGTTAAACACTAAATCATGATACAGAGTATTTGCTTCCCATAAATATTTACTACACAGGTATCAAAATTCAAAAGCCGTAACTGTACAAGTTTGTAAAAATCTCAAGATTTGAGACATTCCAAAAGGGGTTTCTTTAGTTCTTGTTTTAAACACTAGAAATGATTTCAAATTTGAGAAAAGTTGTGTACTTACTTTAAAATAAAAAATGTGAGGTATAATTTGAACATACTAAAATATATAAAACTTGTGCAGTTCGTGTTATAAATTTTGATATTTTATATTTGATAACATTAAGAAATAGAATGCAGTATCTTATTCTCTGCACCTTGAGCATTTGTGGGTCCCTGTGTTATCACCTATTTCAAATAGATGTTTCTCTGATAAAGGTTGAGAGCTGCACTCATCTATGGGTATAAGGATTAATCATTAGGAGTCCATTGAATACTGTGTCCAATTAGCAACATATTGGTAGTAGGTTCTTGCTGAGGCACTATGACCTATCTAGCTTAAGGTTCTTGTCCTAGTAATGGTGTCAGGTATGGGTTTCATCCTGTGGTAGACCTAAATCCACCAGAAAGTGATTGGTTGCTCCCATAATGTTCATTCTACAATTGCTCTGGTAAGCATGTCTTGCAAGGCCAGTGTTGTAGCTGTCAATGATCAAAGCTAGGTAAGAATATGGTTTTCCTCTGGTAGAGTGCACAGCACCTCCAAGCACTAGGAAAGCTAGCCAGGAGGGATGAAACTTCCACATCAGGACCAGGAGAGTAGTAGCATGGTCAAAACATATTATATGAAATTCTCAAATAACCAATAAAAACAAAGAAAGAAATAGAACTCCAGAAAGTAGCCTCCCCTAGAAGCATCCCCTGATTGGATTTTTATCACTATAAATTAATTTTGCCTCTTCTAGAAATTGGAATCACATTGCCTGAAAGGATTGGTCTGTCTTCATTCCTTTAGCATGCTTTTGAATTTCATTTCTGACATTGCAGGTGTCAAAAGCCTACTCCTTTTTAAATTCTGGGTATCATTCCAGTATGTGAATAGTCTAGTTTGTTGTATATTCTTCTGGTGGGTACAAGAATTGTATTGATGAGACTGGAGAGATGGCTCAGTGGTTAAGAGCACTGTAATCTTCCAGAGGGCCGGGTTCCAATTCCCAGTACCCAAGTTTGTAAAAATCTCAAGATTTGAGAAATTCCAAAAGGGGTTTCTTTAGTTCTTGTTTTAAACACTAGAAATGGCAGTTCACAACCATATTACCTCCAGTTCTAGAGGATATGGTACCTTCTTTCGTCCTCGTAGGGCACTGCACACATATGACCCACATGTGTACACGTAGGCAAAATGCCAATGCACATAAAATAAAAATAACAAATTGCATCCGTGTTTGCTTTTATGACTATAGCTTTCATGTACGACTTTGAGTATATGACCTAGTCTCTTGGGTGGAAAGTACCTCCAGCTGGAGTTGCTGCATTGCAGGAGTATATGTAGGATGTATATTATTTAACTATCTTTCTGACTTCATCTACATTTCCTTATGCAGGCAGTGAGTGCTCTGCTTGCTGTAAATCCTCTTTAGTGTTTTGCGTTGTGGCATTTTTCATTGTAGCTCTCCTGGAGTAGTGTTGACCCATTACATTTAATGCGTACTTACCTTGCACTAAGGATAGCTGAGCTTTTGGGCTGTGAGATTATTTTTGTCTGGTTTTATTCTTGTTTAAACTGAGCTGAAATGAAAAGCTTTTCGAGATCTTTGCAAGTTCTCAAAAGTACCTTTTAAATTACTGATTAGGAAATGTAAGCTGAAAAGAAATGAAACCAAATTTTCCTTCCTGTGACCATGGTCCTCAAGAAATAAAATACTTGGGGAAAATTTGGATGATTATTTCCAAAACTCTTTTTTTAAAATAATTTTTTAAAGTTTCAAAAATCTGAAATATTCCTTATTTCACCCACCACTAAGCCCATGACTTATTTTACTTGGAAAATACTCCTGAAAGTGCATATTTGTTTTATGATAATTCCAGGTTTTAGTCAGTAGTTCAGTATGCCAACACTGAGAAAATAATGTGTGGGTTGAGTTGCTTCCCACCCCCATAAAATGAAAGCAAAACAATAACAAAAAAGAAAGAAGAGAAAAAGAAGAGTGGGAAGAGAAAGAAGGAAAGAGGAAGGGAATTTGATAGTTGTACAGCAAAACACACTTTGGTTTTAATGGCTGGTCAACTTGCTCGCTTGAATCCTTGAGGTGATATGTTCCTCCAAAATCAGCAGCAGCCAGGGGAATTTTTGGAGCATGTGCAGCAAGTGCCTTCCAGTGCCTTGTGACTTTCCTTATTTATGCTTGAGTAATGCTGACCTTTCCCTGAAGAATTTATCTACTCTTAGTTCTGATGGACAGAAAGCATTTAGAGAATGTCGAAGCAGATGCTGAGAGCTAGGCCATAGACTCTAAAGCTGGTCTGACTCAGATCATAAATGCATCTCACCCTTACCCCTGGCTCACCAATTCTGGCCCTACCCGTGTTGTTAAATAAATGTAGTCATGTATATCAAATTACAGTATTAAAGTTCTTCTTTGAGTAAAGTGTTCAAAAGGTTCAGTAAGTATCATGTCAAAGTGATTGCATCTCCTCAAATCCGAGTTGGAAAACGGGGACCTGCTAAGACATAGCTTGAAGAAGAATAAAAGAGTCATGGCTGAAAAAGGAACATTTTAAATACTTGTGGATTCTGCTTTTCCAGGCATCTTTGCTCCCAATTCAACACAGTTAGTAATGAGCTCCTATTCTAAAGCTTTTGTTCTGTGTCAGAAAAACAGGCAGTACTTGTTTAAAAGCACCAAAAATACTGTACACATTATAAACACCCAAGTACCTCTACCAGAATTGCAAATAATTAGAAACAGACTTGGAGAAATCAACCCTCATATAGTCTCGCTGCCTTTTTATGAGGTTAGAGCAATCTAATGGGTTAGAATAAGTAATAACAGCTAAAGGGGATGATTATGTCTTGAAAATTAGAAGACTAATATAGCTGAGATTTTTCTTTTGAGCAATATTTTCTTTAAAAGCCACTGGGATCTGACTGCCCTTGGATTGCCACGGAAATATAAATGGAGTTGGCTTAAGCCAATGAATCTTCTGTAAAGACGGATTTATAAAAGACAGTTTCACATTGGATTCTAGAAACCTCCATTATCCCATGCAGAGAATGTTTCAGGCAAGTTTTTCCCTTCTTCCTTGGCTTTGGGCTTTGTATATCAAAGCTCTGACTTAGTAAGTTTCCAATGAGGACACCCCATGCTCAGCTTTAAGCTTGGGTGTATTCATGGGGGATTACTTTAGCTTTTCAGTCCTTTCCTAGCCCTGTTTTCATGTAGTCTGTCTGGGTCTTCCACGATTTTGGATCCTTTCCCCAGATCATGCTGGAAAGTAGATGTTTCATCTATGGTTTTGTTCTCGGTGGTCTTTGAATGGAAGAAGGTAACATGTGTCCTCAGTCTAAGACCAAAAGATAACTTTCTAAGCTGATGTACAGAAAGGATAAAAATTTTTTTAGTAAAATTTGGTTTAACATTGATTGCTTCTTTGTCCTTCCCATTCTTTTAGCTTGCCAAGGCTTTCAAGATTGCTTTTTCATCTTTTTAATTTGTTTATTTGTCTAACATATTCATATTTAATTTGTGTAGTATAAAATTATTATTCTCTTTTTTGGTTATTCAAGAGGGATAATAACTTACATTTTTTTCTTCTAGACTTCCTCACTTCATTGAACCTGGAGTTCAGTATAGTGTTCTGTGAGAGCAGGGCTCATGTGCTCAGGCTGGTGGTAAACACAAGCTAAATGGTTAAGCAGGGAACTGTCCTCATTTTCAGTTATATGTTACTATTAATCTCAAAATCAACCTGATAAAATTGAACTGATAGCCTTTTTTCTGGAAACATCATCTTACTTTTCTTATTTCTTGAA